GGCTAATAATTCACGGGTACATGTCACATTCAATAATTGCATCAGAATAAAAAATATCCACTTTATTTGAGAAAGACATTATAGGTCCGTTTTGTATGTATTTTAAAGTTTTTACCATATTATTCAAAAAAAATTTCCAATCCATCCAAAGACAAATAGCCCTATCAATATATTCCTTTTACGAAAGCATAGACTTTTGAATATTGTTAAAAAAAATTGTTATAAGGAACATGTACATGTATTTAGTTTTAAAATGTCATTTGATTCAATGCCGACCTTTGCTGTGTAAGCAATGTGTACTTCAAATACGCACCTAAAATGTCTACAGATAATAAAACATTGAACATCAATATCTGCAGCCGATTACATACGTATGTATGATAAGGTTTCCCAAAGAATATTGCAGTGTACCCTGTACATGCTTTCTCTCAACTACATATGCATGACGTCCAAATTGAAAATGACGTCAAGTCACTGCCAACTTAAGAAGTATTGATGGGGAGAGTGTCAAACTTTACACCGTATTTCAATCTGCATATAAAGTTTCAAAAAACTAGATGATTTTGTGTCATTTCTCTAGTTTAAAAGACAGCGTGTTCAAAATATGTATGAGAATATACGTTTGATATTTGCCTTTTTTATACCCATGGATATAGGCAGCATTCATAATATGTGTGAAAAAGAGCCTGGCGGAGATGATTAATGAGGATTAATTTGAGGTCTCTTGTGAAAATTTCTTAGAGGAATTTTCTCTCCAACTAGATATTGCTTGGGAAAAATGTATGATGGTTTTGATTTTCACCAGATGTCAATGTTGAGTGGAAAATACCATCAGATTTGTCGGTAAGTTGAAGTGATTTTGAAATAAATTGTACAAGAGCAATAGTATTACTTTTCCCAAACACATTTCGGGTTCTGAAGGATGCAGCTATTTTATTTACATGACAAAAAGTTACAAATTATTGTGTTATAGGGCTGCGCCAAAGCGACTCATGTGAAGCACATCAAAAAGGTAAAAATGACCGTCACGTGATCAACGAGGTCATGTGCTATCGTAACAAATATGTCTATATACATGTATAGCTAGGGAACTCTCTATATGAATTGGCCGTATTTATTTATATACAATTGTAACTTAAAAATAAAAATTATCAAAGTACTGAGAGTACTGATAGGCGGAAGTTTGATTGCAAGTTCTCATGTGCAAAACTTTAATGACACATATTTGAAGCATGATCTGTTTTAAAGGGGGGAGGTTATAAATATTTTGATGGATTGTAGCATTGAAACCAAGGAACAAGAATAAAAAATATGTTTCCCTTTTGAAGCGGAGACATGAAAATAAGTGACGTCAATAGCACTTGATATGAACATTTAAACATTTATTATACCCCCCGCTTGAACAGAGGGAGGGTATACTGTAATCAGTATGTCCGTCCGTCCGTCCTTATGTACGTCTAGCTGTCCGTCCGTCCATCTGTTACGCTTTGGGGTACTCATCTCTTATCCGCAACGCCCTTATACCACTGAGTGAAATTTAATGAAACCTTCACAGAATCTTTATAACATATTGCCATTGTGCACCTTCTATTTTACTTTTGGATCCGACACATAATTTGGGTTTCCCGGCCACAGCAAACACGGACTTTTCCATTATAATTATATGGGAGGGGGTAATCATTTAGTGAGCCCATTGCTCACAGTACCTCTAGTGTTTGTCAAGTATAACAAGTTAAAATCGAAATGCAAGTTGCAATACATAAAATTTGTAAGATATGCTTTTGGGGAACAAGAAATAGATATTAATTATAAAATTTTACACAAAAATTAGTATTAATGAGTAATAGAAAACAATAAATATCACAACTGCTTTTTGGTTTTTTTTATGTGTATTAAGTTTTAGTACCAGTGAAACAAAGTCTTGTTATAAAACAGCTAATTAAATAAGGATGCAAAATACATAGAAGACCTTGCATAGATTTACAATGTGCTTGTGGTTCTATGAATTGTTTTCATTCAATACCCGTATGGCCCAGGTAGAACAAATCACAAGTCTCTAATGCTGATGACAGGTGAACCCCGTGTCATGATATCCACAATAAATGGACATTTTTTTCAGGAGAGCTTCTACCACGGCAAGTCCTTGAAAGCCAGACAATTTTATTTTTATTCCTGTGGTAAATTTGTCTTTGATGATTGTAAAATATTGGTACATACATTCCAATATCAGTGTTGATTTCTTTTCTGGAGATTATCTACACCATTTCCCTCACAACTGTCTCTTGGCAGAATTTTCTACAAAGTGTATAATTGAAAAAAAAAATTAAGAATATCTCATAATGTTTATTTAACAAAAATTATTTTAAAATGTATCCGACTTTCTGACTAAATGAAATCAAGGACTTCAAATAACCTTTTATGATATATTTTTAAAATAATATATTTTCAAGGGAAGTCATCTTTACCGGGTACTCGATCCAACATCCAAGTATCGAATACTGAAAATAAGTACTCGGTTACTCAGATGTATATTATTTCTTATTTCAAGGTACACATTTTTATCAAAAACTTATCAATTATAACTAAAACATGCAAATGGTAATTAGCATGTCTTCATCTACACCTAGCTGTAAAACATCCGTTATCCCTTATCCTTTATCCGTTATCTGACATGCATACAAATTAATGCCACTCTACGGACTTCAAGAGTGAAGTGGGTATATAGAAATAACGAAAGATTCAACACTGCTGAAAGTCAACTTGTGTAGTAAGTTTAGTGTATGTATACTGGAAACAACCAATGAATGATATAAGACTAGCGATCATGACCAACAACATTAGTCCCCTCTCTTTCTCTAGTTATATAACCTACATGTGTACACAGCAGTTTGTCAAATAGATCCAATTAAAACAACCTTTTGTAATTTTTGAGTGTATTGTGCATTTGTGTTTTATTTGATAACTAATTTTAGTACCAAAAATTGTTTCCAATGGAATTGATAATTATTTGTGCATGTATTACATTGATAAACATGATAAAATCAGCTTTGTAGGTTAACAGAGCTTAATTTAACTATGCTCAAGATAAAACTTTCATCTACATTTTACCGTGTAACTGTGTATTCAATTGGGAAATGTTAGAGTAAGTGATTATTAAATTTTGACTGATTTGACTTCCCTAATATTTTTTTGTATTTTTTTTCTCTCTCAAAAGCCTACTATTCATCATGTATTTGAATGTATTTAAAAAAAATGAACAGAAAATACTCAAGTCAACAAAAATAAGAAATGTCAAAATATATTTTCAAAAATAGTATTCGGTTCATTTTTGCCATCATAACAAAATCATTAATTTTTTTATGCTATCAAAAATATGTATCATAACTTTTGAAAAAATTTTCACAAGAAATATAATAATTTGATGTTCTCACCTTCGGAAAAGTGTTTCTGGTTGTCCTGAGTTGAGTTTTCTCCTGCCATTTAGAGGTGACACAGAGCAAATTCACAATTCAATCTTAATTATATACCATTTTCTGTTAGCTACCTCTGTAGGAACACATCTATTCAGACTAAAATAAAATGTAGTTCTTATGCTTGCGTCTTAATTTCTGTCCAAATTTTACAGTTTAAAATGGCCCATTCTTCAACACTCATGTATTTACATCAAATGAGAAAGGATATATAAATGTATACACAAATCGGCATGATAATTCCTCAAATAATTTCTCCCAGGCATGTAATCATGGTAATTATAGAGTACCAGTTCGTTTGTCTTCGATAAGACCCGACCATAACAGCTATCATATAATGATATCTAAAGCATGCCTGCATAGGGAGGGGACATTTTCAAGTTAAAACAATAAAAGATAAAGGTGGCAATAAAGGTAGGATAATCACATAGCGTGAGTTACCTTGCTTATTTTGAAGAGAAGGCCTGTCACTTCCATTCAACCATAAATTGTTGTAAATCATTTGTGCTCCACGTGGGTTTGTTGACAGTAATTTCACGCTGAATCGTCTGTGTTAGATTATTACGCGAATGTAGTACATATATATAAATAAACAATTGATAAAAGGAGTTACATACCTCTTTTCTTCTATTTTATACAAGATTATTGAAAATATTAGTTCCTCAGGAGCTATGTACCTGTCATTAATTCTGAAACATAATTACCTACTTGAACTATTTTGTCCCTCGTAGTATTTCTTAAGATCGCGTCACGACCCCGTGCTAATCAAATGTTGAACCCGATTTGATTAACGTATGTGTTGTCGTTCGTTCTTCTCTCAAACGTGAAACGTATCAGGAGTACTAAAATAATAACTATTCGTTCTATTATTAGGCCATTATTTTTATTGGACCTTTTTACATTAATCAAAATAAATTGTTAAAATAAATTCGCCATAACACAGGCTTTTTGATATGATAATAACGATGAAGATTGGGAAGGGGGTCGAATATGATTTAGCGGGTTGTCTGCCCTTAGTTTAAGATACATCCGTTTAGAGTACCATGAAACGGGGCAAACATCTTGAGAGGTCGAAAGGTCAACAGAGCAAATGTAATAGGAGGCTTCCGCCTAAAAATCGATCTAGCAATGCAGTGTTACGTTTTAAACGCATTTAAAGCTATGGGAAGCCTTAACAGTACTTCTTAATTAAAATATAAATAAAGAAACACACACTGATCCGTTAAACACATATCAATATATATAATGAAATAAAAAAGTAATAGCTTATCATAAATTTATTTAAATAAATCATGGCAAATTAGAGAGCAGAGCAAAGGAGATGAGTGAAAAAGAGAGAAAGAGAGAAAAAGGAAGAGGAAAATTCTTAGTTCTTTATCATCTTGCCAGCCGATAACATAGCAGAGTGTTAGAGCAAGTAAAATCGGGAAGATAAATCCGGATGGACATTAAAGCTACTTTTTCTTTTGATTTCTCTTGTCTCTATATGAAAAGCGGATATGACGTCATGCTATACGTCATATCTATGGTTTAAACTCCGGCTTGGAAGACTTTGTAGATGATGTTTCGTTTTGAGCTGTCGTCATCAGTAACAAACTGGACCCAGGCTGCTATCATCTCATGCAGAGGCACCAAATCCTTATCAAAAAGTTTAAAGGTCTTTGTTACAAGTTCTTCGTTCTCATGACCGAACGCCTTGAAAGCATAAATGAATTCCTTGAGTTCGATGAAGCGATCTTTATTTGTATCAATGACGTCAAGAATCGTTTCGAAACAACTCTGTATGTTCGCCTTGAAGTCTGCCTTGTCTTGTTTATAAGCGGTCGTTAAATTAGAAAGGAACTGCTCTTCAGTTAACTGGTGTTCACCTTTGAGAATGTACGTTGTCCACCAGCTTTCCACGTTCGTTCGGACTGTCTCTGCCTTGTCGCCCAGAAGATGGTGTAGCTCTGTTAACTTATTTCGGGACTCCTCGACATCTTCCAGTGAGATTTTTCCGTCATGATTGACGTCAAGGGACTTGTACCACATCTTCCATTTCTTTGTCAAGTAGTCCATCCTCTCTAAGACCATGTAACAGTAAGAAGAAATATTAGAAGGATCTATATTTTTCTAATTGAGAAACATTTAATTTCCATAAGATTTCCTCTAAGCAGAGAAAGTGAAATTTTTAAAATGGGTAATTACAACATGCTCAAGGTCATTTTTACAAAGCTGCAAATAGGCATTTTAAAAAATTGCAGAAATCCATTGAAAAAATACAAGTCTGGAATTTAGAAACCACCGACTTCTAAAAACATTGGAAGTTGGATGGGGTGCCACAAAGGAGTGAGCATCTTTGACGAGTAGACATAGCTAAGATTGACCCAAGTTTTGGTACAGTGGCTCTGTCAAATAACTTAAAAATAGCCGTTTTGATTCAAACAGTTTAACCCCGTGGGGATTCGGGTTAGAATAGGTCCTCTGTATCCCCTTGCTTGTCGTTAAAGGCGACTAAATGGGGCGGTCCTTCGGATGAGACCGTATAAACCGAGGCCCCGTGTCACAGCAGGTGTGGCACGATAAAGATCCCTCCCTGCTCAAAGGTCGTAAGTGCCGAGCATAGGCCTAAATTTGCAGCCCTTCAACGGCAATGGTGACGTCTCCATATCAGTAAAATATTCTGGAGAGGGACGTTAAACAGTATACAATCAATCAATCAAACAGTTAAGATTTTAATACTTCTTGGACGGAACACAAAGATATAGATAATATGGTTTTGGTAAAGAATTTTTCTAACATATTCTAACAGAATCATACTTTTTATTTTAGAGTTCATTGATTTATAGTCTACATCAATACTGAAAAATGAAAAGTTGGAAAATTATAATCTATGTTTAACTTCTTTGAGGATGAACCAAACGAAACAATACACACAAAAATTTTACTAAAACAATTAATTAAAATTAAAAAAAAATATATCCTGTTAATTATATAATTGAAAAAAATATACCCATTCAATTATAATTAATTCCCCTTTATATTTGAGGTTCAAGCATATACTAGTACTTGTATTTTAAATTCAAGCAATCAACATGTACAATTCTTACCAATAATCATGTAAATATAGTATTTTTTTTAAAGATTAACAAATAGGTTTTAGAGATTAATAAAAAAGATAAACATTTTGCTGTGAAGGTAAAAAATATTCAGCTATGAAATGAAAGACTTGGTTCTTTGAAAGGAAGACGGATTGGAAGGTTCCGAGGCTTTCATTTGAGAAGGCAAAACGCCAAAGTTTACACGCGCCATGGCACCCGCTATACGGTATACCAAACCTGAATTTTGTATTAAAATATTAATAACGTAAAACTTACAGATTAAAAAATTAATCTGAAAACAGTCCACTATTTGTTGAGCTGAATGAAGTTGGATGTAATCCTCTAGCTTCACAGATGTTAAGTGCATCATTTACAATGTAAACAGTTTATATTATTAAACGGACTTTCGTTACAGTAATTAAATGTTTAAACCAAAAAAAAAATGTCATACTGAATAAATAGTGAAGGGTTGAACGAAAAGTAATGTCACACTTTTTTATACTATACTCGGCGTCCTTTATTTCAAAAACAGTTGATGGTAATCTAGAAACAAAGCTTTATGACAAACGAGATGATATAAACTTTTATGGGATGAAATAGGAAAGTGCAAATTTTTCGAAGTTTAAAGTAAATAACTCAAATTCTTTTTGCTTAAATTATAATATATGATGAGTAATACTATATTGTACATTATATGTAAGGAACACAAAATTGTAAATTATTGTTTCCAGAGGGTCATCTCAAAAAGCCAAAAATTAGCAAAATTTTTTTTTTTTTGGGGGGGGGGGGTTAGGTAGTATTACAAAATATGAAGTACATGTATACGAATGATTTATTATTTTTAAAAAATGATAAAAATGATCAAGAGATTCTCAATTTTTTTATGTTTTAAAAAATTTCAATAGCATATGTTTAATACTTTTTTCTTTTATAACATTTTATTGCCTCTTCTTTTAGAGCTTCAGTTTAACATAACATCAAAACCACGCTATTGCGACTTCAATCTACCTATGAGTTTTAAAAGTTTTAAAAATTAGATATATGAAATATATGGAGATAAACAACAGTATTTAAAATAAAAGGTCCATAAAACAATACAAAACAGGAGCAGCGTAAACACGGACTTCTACAACATCAGAGGTGGGATCAGGAGCCATGAAAGAGTAAGTATCCCCTGCCGACCGGTATGACCCGCCGTTTGCTCCTTGTCATGATCGTAAAATAACGAATAACGGAATTTTTGTCGTCAATCTAATGTATAAATAATGGACTAACAATTAGTCTAGAAAACGTCAGTCAGCATTTGACTCAATGATAAATTGTATTTGCTGACAAGGTCATTATATCGGCTATCGAAATGATGCCTTTAAACGAAACTGCTGATATTCTTGTTTCATCAACTTGTTTGTCAATAATTTGCCTCGTTATAGAAATTGTTCAATTGTTCATACGTAGAGCATGCTCTTGCGTATCGAATCAACTGAGATATATGAATTTTGTATGCAGGTGACGAATGTATATTGGTGCATAAGTAATAGAAGTTGACAATTTCTTAATTTTGTTATATTTTATTAATTAAGTGAAAAAGTTGTTTTAAAAAAGAAAATAGGCTTCATTTTTCATCATGCCCGAAGTAATGCACAATAGAAACTCCAGTCGACCCTCGTAAGTAACAAAAAGGGTGCATGCGAAACGTAAACATCATAAGCAGTTGATTGTAGAAAATAAATAGTACTACATTAGTAAGGAAAATTTACAATGTTAAAGCTGAAGTCATCGTCTTTGTCATAAAATTGGTGTGGTGTCGTCATTTTCAGGAGTCGTCAGTAATGCAGTAATGACAATGAATCGGAAAATAAAACATATGGTGAGACAAAGTGAATGAAAGTAGTTTTGAAGTGTGGTTTTATCGTGGAAGATTGTTTACTCACATATAGGCCAGCAGTACTGAGATATTTGACTAACTTAAAAACATCAGTTTATTTATCCTGTCAATCCTAGTACTATCTGATAAGATTACTCTCTTAACTTTAACATTAAACTTTAACTCTCTTTCTTTTGTAATAACTAAGTTATTGTTCTTTATCTATTCTAGTTAAAAATGGCTAACAAAATTATATTGATATACCGTCGGATTCTCTTAAACGAGTGAATCAAAAAAATACTTGGACAAAATTAAATCATGCTTAGGAAATAGGATGCTAGTAGGGTTTTATTGTTTATAATAGAGAGGATTTTCTCAAATTTGGTCAAATATAAACGGAAATCATTCATAAATGCATGAAACACACCAATGAGCAAAAAATCTATATGCTTTAGCTACGATAAATTAGATTTTTTTCTTCATTTTTTTTTTTTTGTTGTTGTTAATTCTTTGTATTTGTTTTGATACGAATTTATAGAAATGTGTATGTATAAAATGCATGAATAAAAATTCATTTATTTGACAAATGCATGATGAAGCATTAATAAATTTTGAGTTACGTGAAACTACTGAGTATTGCTTACATATACATAAACTAGTGTTAGAGTAACTCATAACTCATTGTTCAGCACCTAATTCTGAAGCAATCAAAATATGAGTCTTTAATTACTGTTCATTAAATCTGAGGGTGGTTTGAAGGTCTGCATGTTTTCCTACTCCAGTAGTTTGACTAAAGAATACTAGTATTAGAGATTCCAAGTCAAATGCATTAAAACCTAAAGACCGTAGGGTCTCTTAAATCCGAATTTTAAAAAAGAAGTATGTATAAAAAGATAAAAGTACTGAAATTGTTACACAAAAGATACCCACTTTAATTATCCTATAAAAATCAAATAATGAAGGATATGTAGAAAACGAACAGTATTCAATATCAAAATCCATAAAACAATACAAAACAGGAGCAAACACGGACCTCCAAAACATCAGAGGTGGGATCAGGTACCATGGAGGAGTGAGCATCCCCTGCTGACCGGTCACACCCGCCGTGTACTCCTTGTCATGACCGGGATATAAGGGAAAAATCAAATCTAAGAACTTAACTTTATAATCTTGGTAATTGAAAAACATTCAATACACAGACTAATTTATTACCTTTAATTGCGGAGGTGGATACACTTAGTAAAAAGTTTGATACCTTTTTTTTTACATTCCGATTTTTTCTAAGTCGAAAACGATGTAAAAGGTCTCGGAGGCGAAGGGATCAAGCATAACTTTTAGATTCATGAAATCTTCAACAATCTTTAACTCATTGCTTCTGTATGTGTTTCTGGACGTCTTTTTACTATTATGTTTACGAACCTAAGACCAGCATGTGGTTAATTTAGTCCTTTATTATGAATATAAAATCCTCAAATCAAAAGGGGATATTGATGCCTTCATGACACCTGATCCTATTTCGTATGTTTCTGGAGCTTGTGTGCTCTTCTTGTGATTTGCATAATTTATATGGACTTATGATCATGATTTGTGTTCGTTGTCTGAATATTTTATATTTATTACTGCAGGCCATCTAGCAGTTAGCTGTGAACCTTTTAAAATATCATGAACCTGTCATCAAAACCAAGGACTAGCAGATAAATGTAAAGATGTTAAGATTAATATTCTTATTGCTTTTTATCATTTTTTTAACATGTTTATCAAACAAACACAATTATTCCTTCTACAAGACATACTGGAAGGGCAGAGTTTGTTGATTGTTAAAAACAGGTGAGAAACACGAGATAAAACAAGTATGCTCGTATATATATTAAATCCTGACTCCTCCATGGCACCTGATCTCACCTTTGACGTTTTGGAGGTCCGTGTTTGCTCTGCTCCTGTTTTGTATTGTTTTATGGACTTTTGAGCTTGAATACTGTTCGTTATTTCCATATATTTCATCAAGACTGCTAAAATAAAAAAAATGAGGAATTGTGGTAAAGAGGTTTCTTTATTCATTCACAGAAGACATTATAAAAGTGTGACTGATCCGTACGATTCACAGTTACACGGTC